AAAAAAAAAAAAAAAAAAAAAAGATATAGCTTTCCTTACACGGAGAGCTTTCCTGAACACTTGTTTGCAAGTGTAGTCCCGTCACCTATCTGTGTGGGTTTATTGGGTCAGGGAATTTTCAGCTGCAGATAATAGCATCCACCTTGAGTTGTTTAAGTAGAAAAGGAAAACTCCAAAAAAGCCAGGTCTCCGATAGGTTGACGAGATGGCTGCCACGTGCTCTGCTACCCCTACAGCATATTCTGCAGAACTGCTGGAGTTAGCACTCTCTGCCATTGCCTCTGCCACTACCTGTGCCCCTGGCATTATGCTCCCCAAACTCTCTTCCGCCCTTGGCTTACTTCCAAATCAGAGTTTTGAATGTCTGCGTCTGATTGGTGGAAGCTAGCCTGTATCCAGCAGTGAGGGAAGCTGGGAAATGTAGTTTTTAGGGTTCTACTTTGGGAACACGAGACGAAAACTGTGGGACCGGACAACTAAAAATTGGCACTTGCCATCTGCTTCTACAAGGATTAGGTCACTAGCCACTGTAGTCGCTGACCTTCAACACGCCCTGAAAGGAGTTCAGGAATGAGGCACTCTGTGCCCTGGGGAAAACTGGAAGAACAGGTTTTTAGATAGTTAGATATTTTCAGGAAAAGATTTTTATGGGCCCAACTCTTGCGTTTCCTCATATCTATAAAAGCACTAAAATCATTAATGGAAACACCTGCTCCTCGTGACCAGCAGTAACCTTCTTGTGACTAGCAGCTACCTTCTGCCAAAATGTTTGCTTGATTGTCCTTACCTTTCTTCACCAAAATCACATATATACCGGCCTCTCCGCCTACCTCTTCGGAGCAGTTCCTCGGAGCATCTGAGAGGCTGTCTTCCAGGATATAGTCCTCATTTTGCCCCAAATAAAACTTAACTCACAACTTTCACATTGCACTTTTTTTTTTTTCAGTCTACAGACCCTATCAAAAAGAAGAGAGGGTGTTTAAAAGATATGGTCAGCCACAGGTTACAGATGTCCCCTGCCCCTGTGCTCAGAAAAGAATTTCCTATTTGATTTCTGACCATTCCTATTCTAGAGAAGAGTTAACACCCAGCCTGGGATTCTGGGAAAGGAAGAGCCTGGTGGCTGCTCTCTGCAGCACACAGCCTAGGCGTGTGCATACAGCAAGGAGAGAAGATTGCTTTTAAGACGTGACAATATTTAGGAATCCTTGCAGCGAAGTGGGATAATCAAGAGGAAGAATCCAAAAGGGAAGAAAGCAATAATAATTGCCTTCAAATTTGCTCTTTTAAAAACACAGTCTTTTAATTTATTTTAAGCATCACAGGGTGGATTGCTCTGGGTAATTTAGCGATCTTTGCTTATGATCAGAGGTTCAATAACACACTCAGCAGACATTTCAAGCAGTGCAGTACCATTTCTAGCCCCACAATGCCCACCTTTCCATTCCTGTTGGGGATATATGGTCACCACAGAGCATCTTAACCTAGCTCAGATGTGTAAGGAGTAATTTAAGTAAAATGTGGGATTTACATAATTCATTTCCTCAACCACAGGCTGCTTTAATCAGAGAGTATGAGATAGCTCTTCAAGGGAAACCCACAGTGATAAACTATTGCCATTCCCAAAGCAGAAAGACCATGTGAATACTGCTGCAATGAACGTGAGAATGCAGATATCTCTTCAAGATGCTGATTTCATTTCCTTTGGGCACCCAGAAGTGGGATTACTGGATCATATGGTAGTTCTAACCATGGCTCTGCTACTCTTTGCCCTGTGATCAGACCCATTAAACTAATTAATGGGTGATGAATGGATGATTCCACATGACTCTAGATGGAAAAGAGACTATTTTGTAGACCTTCAGGAATGACCACTGTACCAGTTAGGATACCTTTGGATGTTTGTAACTGAAAGCCCTCAACTCCAATTGGCATAAAAGATCGATTTATTATTTCGTATACCAGAACTCCAGAGGGATGTAGTATTCAACGTCGTTGAGTTCAGTTTAACTCAGTGACCCAAATATATCCTCAAGGATAGGGGTCTTTCCGTCTTCCCACTCTGCCACCAGGGTTCAGATTTATCCTTAAGCTGACTTCTCTCATGGTCACAAGATGGCTGCTGGAGTTCCAGCTGTCACATTCAGACAAGACAAAATTCA